GATTAACTGGGTTGCTGTTAAGGAACTTAAACCAAGTTACCATAATGGGTATATTTAGTAAACAATAGGGTTTCCCCAATATAGTAACTTAATTTAAGTTCCTGAACAGCAACCCAGTTAACGATTGGGTGAGGAGGGAGGCAGAGAATCAAGCGGCGAAGAGGAGCCCGCAACCGGGGAACCTCCAGAGACTGGCCTTCATGGGCCCATACAATGTCCCAAATCTCTACCGCCTCTGAAGTTGAAGATCCTATGGCACATTTCATGGAAAGACATGGTGAGACCGTAGGGGCTCTATGAGATCAAAGCCACTCTGTCAGTCTCTGGACATGAAGGTTCATAGCATGCCAAGAGGCAGTGCACCCCACCGCATATCCATGCCGCTACGCATCCAAGGACTGCGATAGGCATCTGTAGCCTCCGCACCCTCACTCCTCCGTTTCATGGAGGATGTAACCTCCGATCTCGACAAAAACATTGCCGTCATTATCATTTCCATCTGCTTTGCCGTCCGTTGGCCTGGAACGCCAAGTGGAATCACTGTCTGGCCCGGCATTCTCGATGCTCTTCAATTTCTGCCTCCGATCCCGAACAGGTTCGGCGTATGGCCGCTGTTGTTTTAAAGCAGCGGCAGCTGCTGCGCGCCCGCCCTCCCATTCGCGCGCGCATCATGACCTATCCACTGCCCAATTGCATCATCATCTGGGGCTCGCCCATCTGAATGGGCATCTGCATGCCAGGCATGCCTTGTATGCCCTTCTGGCCAAGATGACTCATCTGGGCCATGTCATCCCACCAATCTCGCCCATCTGACCAGCTGCTGGCCAGGTGGGAGATATAATGCTACTCAGCAGCCAGGAGGGGGTGGCCAGCATTGAGAACAAACATGATGTTCTAAAGGTTCCTTCCGGTTCCGGAAGACAAACACTTAATCAATCATCATTTGGAAGTAGACTCCTGTATGAAGTAGGGACAACCCCACTTACTTTTGGCTACCAGGCTTGGAGCCACGCCATGGCTTAAGGCTAGGCGCCTAGCAGGTGCACCTCGTGAAGCACAGTTGACGGACAGCATAAGCAGCTACCTAGAGCTCTGAGCGAAGGGAATGTGGATGGGAAACCGCTAGATCCTCGTGTTCACTGCCATGGTTCACAGGGGTACTCCTATCCTAAACTCTACACCCCAAGGCCTTGTCAGGCCACGCCAAGTCCTGCAGTACTTCAGCATCATCCAATGCCCGTGGGCCAAGCAAGAGCCGCTGCTCCTGCCAAGGACTTCAGAGGTCCACCCTAACTCCTAAACCCCAATTCCGGCTAGGTCAGGATACAGGCAGCCTTTATACTAGGGATGCTTGAGGTGAAGGTGTGAGCATGCAGATATGCCTAAGGTTCGGGACCTCCATCAGGCGTCCTGACTCTGAAGCTCAGGGGCCCAAACCCTATCTGGCTTTTGAACCCTAAACCCTACACCCATGTATAAGAGTTCCCAAGAATAGGGGTCCCCCATATATGCCCCCTAGAGTCCTCGATGCCACCCAGCTTGGCCTTGAGCTCTCGCACCGTGGACGGCCCTGAACAAGGGCCAGCCTCACAAATGAGTAGTGTTTCTTTGGTGGTNNNAAATAAAATACTACTCAAATGAGTCAACCTTGGGTCCTGCCAACACCAATTAACAGTCTATAATGGGGGGTCACATGAAGGGCGCTATGTAGCTGTATTATGAACATTCTACAGCTGTTAATGGGTGGGGGGCAGTACCTAAAGCCAAACCGTTTGTGCTGCAAATAGTCCTGAAGTCGTCCAGCTGGAGCGCGTCCACAAGGAATGCACAAGCATATAACTACGTCATAAACGTGCACATACACACACCTTGCATATCCATCTGCTTATGTAATTGCACACACACACACACACACATATATATATATGTGCATAAACATACACATATGTATATAAATATGTCTCGCTCTCTCTCGCTCTCTCTTAGTGTCATGTTCTGCGGTCTAACTGGCAAGCTCTCCGCCCGACAGCCCTCGGCTTCACGTGATGGGCTCTTCAGATTGCCAAACCAATACCAACTGCGCCTGCACGCGGGACGACTCTGTCCCAGAATATTTTTAGATACATACAAATCATGAATATACATGTGCTTGCTGCCTGCGAGGTCACGCGCATTCTTAAGATGGCACAGGCGTGGACGTGTCATCGACAACCCAAATTTTCCCAGACAAAGCACAAAGAGCAGCGCGCCGCTGACTGCCACCACCTCAACGTCGACCACCGTCCCCCAGCTAGCCATGCACACATCAGCTGGGGGGGGGGTGGGGCACCCACTATCTGAGGACAAACTACATGGTACAGCCAGTATGTGTTTGGGTTCTCATTCAGAATGTCAGGAAAGTCATGCTGTGCCGAATGACCCCCGTTGCTTCATGTGTTGTTGGCACTTCAAGCCTGCAAGCAAAACAGTTTCGGAGAATCTGTTGCTGCCAAACCATGCAGTCTCTTCTGGGACACAAATGCTAACTTCCTGGCTGGGCTTCTGGGAGATGCGCATTCAACGACATTGCGCCTGTCGTTCAGTACTTCAAAGCGCTGCTTTTTTTGACCGGCATCCGACTCTGTCTTGTTCGATGCCCATGCTCTTACTGATGCTTTGTTGGGAATAAGGGAATATAATCCCGTTCTTAAACCCCATATATTCTATTCCCATATTCCCTACGAAGCACCTGCAAATATTCGGCACTGACCGGACGTACTCATGCGCAGCGAGTCAACAGCCTGCAAGAACCTCAGCGGCAAGAAGCGCAGCAGAGCCGTCTTACGAGCCATGAAGACGAGCCTGCTCGGGAAATTGTAGTTTCCCCGCTTAAAGTATATACCTGACGATATTCTCATCCTTACTATTGGGACCCCCAAAGTAATGGTATTCCCTAACTTTGGGAAATACTCAACTCTTCTGTGCCCCAGGCCGCAACACACTTTCGCAAAGTTGCGAAGGTCATGCTTGGCAGAAGCTTCCGTGCCTCGGCCAAGATTTTGGGGGTTTAGGGCTCTAGGGTTTAGGGTTCTAAGGGTCTAGGGTTTCGGGTTCTAAGGGTTTCGGGTTTAGGGTTCCAAGGGTTAAGGGTTTAGGGTTCTAAGGGTTTTGCCACATGCATGGCTGAGGCAGCATCGCAAGGTTCAATCTGGAACGTACAACTGAGAACTAAAAGCAACAGGCCTCCCTCAGAAACGCCGACCCATAAGCTCCAAAAGGGTTTAGGGTTTAGGATTTGGGGCTTTCACAAGCAACAGCTGCATCTTATGCATATGTGATGCAAGAGCTCTCGTGAGTTCTCATTTGCAAAACTTGGGCCTTTACAAGCACGAGGAGAACGCGTACCACAATAAGCTAGTCCAGCTCGCTGGACTAAAAACCAGACTGCTCGTGCCCCAATCAATATGTGCTTTGCTTTGCGGTGTGATTCTTAATTTGTTCGGAGGAAAGATTTAGGATTTAAGTTGTACGGTTTAGGATTAGGTCTGGGATTTGACTAACACTTTTATTGGAGGAGTATGCAGAGATTCGAGTTTAGTTCGGGGTTTGATTCTTAATTTGTTTGGAGGCCTGCTGCAGCAGGTCAGCAGCATGTAGCAATCTACTCCATGGATTCGCGCGTCGACTGCCTGACGGATTTTTTCTTACTGGTTCTTAGTAGGGAAGAAGGGAATACATTATCCAGGGGTTACATAGGGATTATATTCCCGTATTCCCCTCGAACAGCCAATAAGCTTTCTAACTACCCTAACTATCTGCTCGACGCTCAGGAACTCTCCAGTTCTCCATGATGTGTTTGGAGATGTGAAGAAGACTCTACACTTCTCACAGATATGATTGCTACAATGAAGCCCTTTTTTGCATCTGGACTCCCGCAGGCTTTGCCACACTGAAGCGCACGCCACCACACAGCAGCCCTAAATCCTGAACCGCCGGACACGCGTGGTGAGCTTTTTCCTGGTTCAAAAGCTGCTTTCGGAAACAACGCGCTGCTCGGCCTCGCCGATTGGTCTCGTGGGGAAGTGATGCTGTCATGCAACAGCTGACAGCTACAACTTAAAATCCTGTCCTAGTGTGCACCAGGATCAGCAGCGAGCTTCAAATTTGGAGGTGCAGATCCAACAAACGAGACTGTTGGAAAAGTCCATGCAAGCTGCTAAGGCGGCGCGGGCGCTGAATTTTTTCAGAGCTCTTTGCAAGGTCTCCTTCTTCATGGACAGCAGCTTCGGCGCCTTCGGAACAGGAGATTATGTTCAGGTTTACAAGGACACAAATCATCATGATTCATCAATTGGTACCCCAGGGATCCAACATGGCCCAATGTAGGTAATATTTACAATTTTTTGGGCACAATGATTGCAGGTGTTGTTTATAGACTGTTGGGCCCAAGTTGATAGACATGGATCCCTAGGGTTATGCAAAGGCCTCGTTAGGCTGACAATGCCACGACGGGCACTTCAGGTGTAGAGGATGCGTGTCGGCGAACTTCTAGAGAGGGACGGCTGCTTCAATCTCATAGTATCCTTCCAGACGGGGTTTCCGTTTCTGTTTCCACTTCTTTTCCATTTGTTCTTCATCTTCGGAAAACAAGAACTGCGCACTTGCCCTGCTCCGAGTTGCTTGCTGTGACGCAAAGCCCTAAACCCTTTCGCCCTACACCCTAAACCCTTTTTCCCAACAGGCTTTTTGAGTCCGCGCACAGGCCCGAAACCCCTAGCCCCACCTCCTTCGTCTCCTTTTAATCGGCATAGCTCCAGGGACTCCACCACTACTGGCCCGAGGTCTGTGTCCTGAAAGTCCTGCGCCCAGCCAAAGCCATTGGGTAGGCGCTTAATACCTGTTTAGGGTTCAGACTTGAGGATTTTGGGTTAACTATAGTATATTCCGATTATGTTGGGATATGACAAGGGATTATATAGGGGTATGTAGGGATAGTGGGTGTGGCAGTACTATCGTTGTACAGTATAGCAGTAACAGTAACAATAACAGTAACAGTAATGGTCAGTAATTAGTACTGGATTGGTTGCCTGCTTTGGGGATGGACCAGCGCTCGATGTACACCGTTGCGCCGGTCGCGAAGCCACGAAGTTTTGGGGTGAAATGTCTTTTTAATTGTTCCACCTGAGAGATGTCCTGCTCACATGCGAACTGCTGAGCAACACCAACATACATCACCCTCGCACAAATTGGCAGACTGGCCTGCCAACAGGCTTTCGGAATACGGGCTTTGCCGTTTGCTCGACTGGCTTTCGCCAGTGTCACATGCGGGTGGAAGCCTCATCTCAATTCAAGCAGGCATGCTAGCCTGCGAATGTCGATCACATCGCGGACAGGTGATTGCTGCCAGGACACTGCTATCAGAATTTCCAACCTCAAGCAGATTCAGGCAGTCTGACAAGCAACTGGACATCCAAGGCACCTTGTTGGTGGTTTCCACAGATAGGGGCACCTGATAATCGGTACCACCGAATATAAAGCACTAGGTATTTCCAGCTTCCCTTGCATTTCCAGTGTTTTCTGATTCTCCCTATATACTGCGTATAGAACTCCTCTATATCCCTATCTCCCTTTATAACCCCTAAACAGACATCCACAGTTAGTGTTGGGGGGGGGAGGTTGGGGAGCGCACGCTGCGCAAGACAGAGTCTGACTATGCGCCAGCTACGTGCATGAAAATCTGCAAGATGCTGAAGAACCTTGCTGTCTTTGGGGGGCTATGTTTACAGCACTTGAAGCCAAGTTTTTTAAAGCATCTGGTGGGGATTCTGATTGCGAGGAAGTTGACTGCCTGTAGTTACTGCTATAAGTCTCCTAGAAGTCTAGCAGGGACCATCAAGGCGTCTCACGCACGAACGTCAAATCCTCTCATGAACGTGGCTTTTGTTTTCTCAAGCCCAACACAAACCCAGCAGTCATCAGAATTTTTCAGGAAGCTTACTTGCTCAGAAAGTGTTTCTCAAAGCTAAATAAGAGTACAGAATAGCTTGCAATGGAGCATCCTAGGATCTACAGGGGTAAGGACAGACTGCACAATCAAAGGGAAAAGAACCTGGACAATGAAATGGACATAATATAGTAGTCCTACTGCTAGCTTCCTTTTGCATTTTCCGTTTTATGCTCCATTCTTCCTTCAGAAAACTATGGCCTGAGGGCACTATCTTAGACAAAGTTTAGAGCCAAGAACCTGCTCGGAAGCATCGCTGTCACACTCGTCAGCGCGCGGCTCCTCCACGGGCCTTTTCGCAATCTGCGCAATGACTCGATGTCACGGTTTTCTTCTAAAATTTATCACCATCATGAGCATCATCACCCTTATCACACTTTACCATTATCCGTTTTGCTGCTCTAGACTGGCTCGCTTGAAGTGCTTTAAGTCAAAACCATGGCTGACAACTGCATGGAACTGCAAAACCTCAGCATCCAGCCACAAACAGCGGCCAGTCTTGATTTCCACCACGCGCTGGAAGAGCTCGGGTGGGATGGTGCCAGATTGATCTCCGCGAGTAAGGATCTCGGCAGACCAACTCACTTTGAGGGCTTAGAACAGCCTATGTCTTAATGGAGAATTTTTTTCGAAAATAGATGTCACTAATCCTTAAACTCATCTTCGGGAAAGCCTGCCTAGACACCTAGACCCTACCCCTTGTGTAGCATACCTAACTTGACGTCTAGTATTTCCCATATCCAAAAGTAGGTACCCTAAAAAGGGGGTATGGTTTAGAGGTCTAGGTAAAGCCCTAAACCCCAAACCCTCACTACCCAACCTAGAACCATGACCGATAATGGGATCCAAGCTGCCACATCATTAGCTGAGCGGTAAAGCTTGATTCCTTTCTGCAGTGTCTTCGCCACATCCAGGTAGATGGCAATGGAGCAATCTGAGGGCTTAGGATTTTTAGGGTTGGTGGTTTGAGGGCTTAGCAAAAAAAGTTTAGGGCATCAACTTGCAATCCAATGCTATCTCCCATAAACCCCCTCTAGGTAGTTCAGACTATAGCTCACATGGCAGCTGTTTCTTGCAGGCTCCTTCCACTGATCCATAGCAGTGGGTCCGAGAAAATCTCTTAGCACACATACGAGCCTTCCCGCATTCCGCTGATGACGGTGCGAGAACCAACCTGCAAAACAGGAATGCTGCCGGCCCAAAACTACCCCCCACCCCGCTGAAGGAATGTTCCCTGTAATATCTAATGATACTATATTTAAGGCCTGGCGGCAAGTGCCGGACTGGCCACCACCCTGATGGATTTTGAGGTGTGGAAGGTCTTGTTCACTCTGATATTTTAACTTGAAACAACTCACATTGGCGTCCCAATTGTGCGGATCATGCTCCAGTACGGGGCGCGCGGCCCGTACACCAGCATCATCCGCACAATTGGGACCCCACTTTGGCTTAATTGGCGCCAGGGGGGGTTCCAAAAACCAAGACAAGCCGTCAAAAACTGCACTGAACATGGTTCTGTACGCAAGCTGACCATGTTTTAGCTCACAAGAACATTTCTTGCAAATCAAAAGCAACATTTAAAGGTATTTGCTAAGCTCAAGTGGTGCAGAATCATGGCTTAGGAGCCACACAAATAGGGCTTTTTATGGGCAATGCTCGCACAGCCTTTCGCACGCTCGTCATCCAGCGCAGGTGCTACCAAGACTGTTATTTACAGCCACAAAGACTGCCCACAGCACGTACTTTGAGCGTTTTATTGTGGTTTATAACGCATTTTCAGGTCCCAGAAGTCTCCCAAGAGCCAGGAGCATCATGGGGCCTGTTTGGGCCTTCAACTTCATTCTTGACACCGCGCACAGGAAGTTCCAACACCCTCCAAAACCCTAGGCATGTTGAGGTGTCCAAAAGACAGAAACGAAGGCCCAATTGATGATGGCCTGCAAAAATTGCCCCAAACCCTCTGTAGCCAGGGGAGGGGTAGGGAGCCTCAAGACCGCATCCCAAAATCACCCTAATTTTTGACGCCCAAAAACACGGTTCCAGGGCTTCCAGTGGCCGACCGGGCCACACCCCCATAAAGCATAGCTTTGCTAGGCGTGCATCTGCAATGGGTCGCACGACGGCCAGGCCGGATTCTAAGGGCAGAATTGATTCATTCGGGGGGTTGTATTTCTTAGGGGAGGGGATCATCTCCCCAAGTTTCAGGACATGGGGTCAGGTTTAAGAGCTTAGGGGGCCGTTAGTTGCCGCTGTAGCTGGCAAAGCTCGAGAGTTAGATTAGAGTAGGCCGAATACTGAAAGCCTTGAACAAGCCAAGCAATGGAACCCTAAACTCCGCAACTTCTGCTTTAGGATCGCAACACTCCCCCGCATGCGTTAACAGCTGATTGCCCCCAGCCCATGTAATGAGGACTCTATAACGATCACGCGACTATAGTAGGATCTTACCCTAGTTTTCAGAAACCCCAAGCCTTCATCCCTAAACCCTAGGCCTGATATCCCCCATATGGCCCTATTCGACCCTATCAAACCCCCTTAAAGGTAACCCTAATTTTGGGAAACCCCCAGGTGATCAAAGAGGTGCCTGTGGAGGTTATTCGCGAGGCGGCCCGGGGGGGGGTGGGTGTCAAGGGGTAGGGGTTTAGAGGTTTAGGGGTTTAAGGGTTTTAAGAGTTTCAAGGGTTGTAAGGGTTTAAGGATTTTTAGGGGTGTGGGGTTTTAAGGGTTTAAGGGTTAAGGGTTTAAGGGTTTTTTCGGTTTTACGGTTTCACGGTTTAGGGTTTAGGGTTCCTACCCTGTGGTTTGATGTTGGGCCCAGATGAGCCATAGTCTAAACTTCTAGTATCCCCTTAAGAAACCCTCATACTACTCCCCTTGAATTATAATCCCTATATACTTATATAATCCCTATATACTTACACTCCCCCAAACCAACATGGAAACCCATATAGCCCTCCTTTAAAAGGACTAGAGCCCCACAGCAACCGACAAATGTGAACTATGGTAGGTTTGTGGGTCCTATAAAAATCAGGTTCGTCATGGCGGGATCGAACCTCAAAACACCTGCGACCAGTAAACCCCCAAATCCGATCTAACCCCTAACCCCTAACCCCTAAACCCTACTATTGCCTCGTGGGGCACGAAGTGGATGTGATTGCGGCCCATTGGCTTCAACCCTTCCTCTTTGATCTGCTTCCAAATCTGGACTTGGCATTTCCTTTTTGGGCTCCACTTGCTGAAGTAGGTCCCATGGATACCTTGATTGCTGCAGCTTGCAGACGACAATGACACACACACACACACACACACACACACACACACCCGCACACACTGGGAAAGCCACGAGGGCACGTTGAATCTCACACACATGAACTATTCCAACGATGCCAACATGGCTCCAACTGATGCCAACTTCAACTACAATATGATATGATTTTTGGGGGTGGGGGCCACCAGCTGTCAAGAAGGACCCAGGTGCACCCCCTGAGCTGCCAGCTGCCACGCCGGGCCCAGGCCAACCCTTTTTGCAGGTACGTTTTCCTGGGAATGATGGGAGAGCTTCGTTGGGCAGAGACCCCATCATCCCCCTCTGCCCCTCTGCGACCATGCATACACAGAGAGGAGGAGGTGAAGGTACAGCAAGGACAAAACTCACAGAAACCCGTGTGGACATGGGGGCCCACACACACATCCAACCCTCAACCCTAAACCTCCACACGATTTTCGTAATTTGAAGCCCTCCCAGACTACGAACGAACTCACGCCCAACTGAGCCAAAGTGTGAACTCCTAGTATCGCCTTAGTAACCCCTATAATACTCCCCTATGTTATCCCCCGTTTAACCCCCTTTCAGGAATCTAGACCTTAAACCCTAAACCCTTCCTTGTCCCCTACAGAACCCCATTTAAGGAGTCCAGACTTTTGCTCATTTGTCAGCCAACTACATATCGGAAGATCTTCTGCTCGCTGGATTGGCTGTAGTAATTCGGAGTCCAGGACCTCCCAGGATGCTGTTGTTGCTGGGTTTGGTGTTTAGGGTTTAGGGTTTAGGGGGTAGAGCTTGGGGTTTAGGGTTTAGCGTGTAGAGTTTAGGGTTGAGGGTGTTAGATTCTTCCCGATCACTGGGGGGTCTTTGATTCTTAGATCCTCCTAATATCAACCCCCCCGAACCCCCCCTCCCATTATTAAATACTTCCACTGTCGTGTATGATAATATTTTAGTGGGAAGATTAGATTCGTAGACCTTCCCTAGAAGTTTGATAATCTGTTACATGAAGAAATCTGCTAGCCGCCTGGAGTTCCACGATGCAAAGGCAAAAAAGAGCACGATTCACGCACAACTCCATTTGTGGCTGAGGATCGCTGACACACAGCTGCATGCACACCATGTGTGCAAAGGAAAAACGTACAAACCTACATCAACTGCAAAGCTGTCTAGTGCATTCTGCGCCAAGCTAAAAGCTGTTGAGTCTCATGTTATCAAGTAACCGCGCCGAGCCCGTGAAACCGCCTTCCCCCACTAGCAAACCACCCCACTCCCCTAGTTGCCAGGTTTTGCTGATGGTGTGCTTTGAGTTGGGTTGCCGGGTGCATATTATGAACCACCATGCTGATATGATCTGGCTACGGTACGGCTCGTGGTGTTCGGTTTGGAACTTTGGAGACTTTACATTTCCCCCCTCCGGCTTGGGGTTTGGGGTTGGGAACATCCCTGGGTTGGCGGGGATGGATACAAGTGGAGAGGAACTTGAAACCGAGATCATATATACATAGTTTCCATGCCCTTTTCTAAATTCTTTTCCATGTGTATCTCAATTACTACGGTAAAATCCCTAAACAGGGCCAATAAATTTAGACGGTAAACCCTAAATAGTATGCAACAATTTCCCCCCCTACATGCCCCCCTGTACAACCCCTACTTATACATCCTTTATCACCCCTGTATCCCAAGGTAACCCGTGCCCTAAACCATGTGGAACCCCTATGTTGGGAACCCTTAGCCCTAAACCCTAACCCCTACACCTACACCCTCAAGATCCCCCTTTAAACGCGGAGCCAGCCTGTTTCATCTTGTGACCCTGATTGGCACGGATACGCTTCGTGCCCTCCTCTGTCCACCTGAGTAGCGATTTCTGTGGGTTTAACCCAATATGATCTTATTCTTTGTAAAATACTAAACTCTAAAGAAGGAGATAATCTTACTCTATTTTAGAGACCAGTACTGCCCTAAACCCTTTTACAACTTGACTTGGTGAGTGCCAGACAGAGCTCGCTAAACCTTAAACCCTACAACCTAAGACGATTATACCGTAGTATCGCCAAATAAGATACAACTCACCTGAGCTTGCGAGGTGTAGCTCCTAATATAGGGGTTGACGTAAGGAGAAAATGTTGGATCCTGCAAAAGAAAAATAGAAACTTCTAAATTATTGCTGGTTTCGGCGCTGTTCAGGGTGTAGGGTTTACAGTGAGGCCGTCTAATACAACACCAATAAGGGAGAATCAAATGGACAAGAACACATAAAAATCAAATGGAAACTGGGTATATCAGGTGGTTTGAAAAATCACGTGCCGTTGAGGTGTTCCCGAGCAACAACCAGGGCAACTAGAAAAGATTGGCAAAACTGCAAAAAAAGTCCCACGGTATGGCCACAGCCACAGCTGGAAGCGCTTCTTCTCGTTCAAATGGACTTCTGCTTCCACGTCTTTCCTGGCTCATTCTGCTCCCATGTTTCCATGAGCGCCCGATTCTAGGTCCGGACCTAAAAAGACTGTGCACGTTCGCATCACAAGCCAGAACCCGCAAACTGCCCATGTGTTTGCCACCACACACCCGACTGGTTTACATGAGGCTGTCATACTTTGCGCACTGGAGCTGACGGCCATGTTATGACAAAAAAGGTGAACAGTTGCATATGTCCGCTACCATCCAACAAAGCGAGTGGCCCCTTAAAGTGTTTAGCTAGCTACTGTCGGCAAGCTACGAACGCTTATTATGTATCTATCAAAGTAACTATAGGAGACTGCAGGATACCACCTGCTGATAACTTGGGTCGTTCCCTGGCAAGCTTTTTGAGTTCTCTTGACCCCTCCTGCACTGACAAATAGAAAAACCTCTAAAGGACCCCTATTTGGGGGGGTTCTGAAAAATTAGGGGTACCTTTTTGGGGGTCCGAATAATAAGGATTATCGCATATTGGGGCGTATATTGGGGTCCCCCACTCATGAAAATTACCAAGTAGTGGAAAATGGACCAGCGTCTCCGTGAAGTTGTGGGTCTTGAAGAATGGCAGGGTCAGAAGCTCCTTGTGACAAACATCCAGGCTGGTACTCGTAAGATCATCGTGGTGTCTTGGGATTTATATCTCTAGGCTACCCTCCAAGCACCAGTGAATCTTTGCAGGCCTCAACCCTTCAAAGCTTCTTCAAGGCCTGACTCCCCCCTAAGGTCTATTATAGGGTTTAGGGTTTAGGGCATAGTATGTAAAAACTCTAGGAATAATTGTGACATTTGTCATCTGATCGGCTAAAATGTAACATGGGATCTCCTAATCTCGCAGATACCCCCCCGTAACATACTGGTGTTATAATGGGGCCATTTGTTATTAGAAGGTGTTATTACAAGCTGCTGCTACCATGTGAGCGCTATATCCATGCAATTGGTCACTGTCTTTTTCCATTGATTCTCCATTGTTCAAGTTATATATCCCTATAAAACCCTTTTTTAGCCCCCAACCCTAAACCCTAAACCCTAAACCCTAAACCCACCAGCAAAGTCCTGCAGCCCCACGGAGCCATCACTTCTCAGCGCCAGCCCTAGGCGCACTGCGTCGTGCCGAAGCACACGCCTTGGGGGGCAGGCTGGAAAAGAACCAGTAAAGGGCTTTTTTTTTTACAACCCCAACGGCCTTTTAGGTCTAGCATACAGCTTGGGGGTCTCGTTTGCCCAGTCGGCCAGTAAAGGGTTTAGAGCCTAGGGTATGTCCCTAATACTTCTTCCCCTGTCGTATTAGTATAGACTAGGGGGGATGGTCCGTATCAGGGGGTGGGGAGGGCTTATTACTAAGGGAGAAGATTAATGATGATAATAGCAGTGGCTTTAATGTCTGAAACAGTATTACGAAGAATAAGAACCATTAAGAAGATCATTTAGAATAACAATCGTGAAGATGTCATGGCTGATTGCTGCAGCAGTGTACTTTCCCAGAGCTTCAACTACCACGGGGACCCCAGCATACACCCGCTAAAAAGGAGCCCTTTGAACACCCGGATCTGTATAAAGCAAATGCACTCGCAGTTTCCTTGTATCTTTAATTTTCTCTTCCAGATTGTCGCAGTGACCCTACTTTCTGGAAACAGAAGCAATAAATGATGTAGTAGTTTCCGCTTTCATCTCCATTCCCCTCTATAGTAAACCCTAAACCCTAAACCCAACCCCCCTAAACCCTAAACCCTTTGGACCTTCGAGGTAGGAGCTCCTGGTACAGATTCAGGCAAGCTACGTCAGGTAGCGGCTGAGCTTCTCATTGGAAGCCACAGGCAGTTCCTCCTGCTGCCAAAATCTCGGCGCAGAGTGGTGCGAGGAGCGGTCTCGGAGCAATGCACGACTACAATGACTATGAAAATGAAATCTGCTCCCGTGGTCTTTACCGCAAACAACACAAAATGCCCGGGCATTCAGGCATGCATACTACCTGGACCCTCAGAATATGTTATCATGGGTTTAGGGCTATTGTTTTACATACTTTTGGGGTTTAGGTAGGCATGGCCACAAAAAAGCTCCTTCTCTTCCTCCACTGCGTTCACAGTCTCTACGTTGACGCAGGCCGTGCTCGCCGTTGCACTTTTATGGGCTGGTCCTCTGACAGTTGTCAGCTTTGAGTCGGTTTGAGTGAGCTTCCAACTAGATACACCGACAGTTTTCCTCGAAACATCTTAGGACCAACATGACCACAACCAACATTCACTACTTCCGCGCCTGAACTCTCCTCCAAGCGGTCCAGCAGTTGCAACCGCAAAGAAAGAATAACCGTTGCATCCTGTGGGCGCACTTCGGCAAAAAGGACCTCGGCGCTGGCGTGCAGAATGCGCTACTTCGAGCCGGAGAGACACGCTGCTAGCGCCGTGCACTTCGGGACCCTGGGGACATTTGGGGGTTAAAAGCGTGGTCAGACAACAGACTGCCTGAATATATCCCGATATAGTAGTTTCCATTTTCTTTTCCACTATCCCAATATATCCCCAATATAACCCCTAAACCCTAAACCTATAACAACCCCTATGTAATCCCTATATAACCCTATACAACCCCTACATAACCCTATATAATCCCAACATAATCCCTGTGCTCATGCTGTGACGCTCTGGGAGCTGGGCCCTGTCCCCGAAGCATCCGAGGCCGCAAAGCTGGAACCGCAGCGGCCCTGAGGTCTGATGAACACAGAAGCAATGGGTTTAGGGTTTAGGGTTTAAGGGTTTAGGGGTTTAGGGTTTAGGGTTTAAGGGTTTAAGGGTTTAGGGGCTTAGGGTTTAGGGTTTATTGGGGTTATACTGGGGCTATACTGGGATACTGGGGTTATACTGGGGTGAAATTAGGGCTATCTTAAAAAGATCTTAGAAGGGTTATATTGGGAATATGTAAAGCACGTGTGAAGACCTTGAATCCACCCGCCCATTTTCGCAAGCGGCGTGTTGAAAAAGTATATAGTCGCCCTTAAGTAGATATAATAAGTGATATGTGGGGATCCTATTCCAATATTGGGCGGTTCCATATTCTATCTGCTTAGTTCAGGGGGACTATGCTCACAGGAAGCCCTCAACCCTAAACCACAGGACTTGATTACGGCGCAGTGCTGCCAGGACTCCTGGAAGATCCTTGGAAAAGTCGGCAGCAGCATCGGCCAAGCCCGCTTGGGCAGCCTAGACAAGCTAAATATGGTATACTAAAATATGTTAGAATATACTATAATAAACTACAAGAAAACACGATGTACAGTGCA